CAAAGCCTCCTTCACCAGGATCAGATGTGGGAGCAGTTTGGAGAGGAGCAGAAAGTCCCTGCAGGAGCAGTGCCCAGCTGCCCGCAGCCGCCACGTGAACTGTGCTTTTCCTAGCAGGGGGGCAGCCGCCTCGGAGCCTGCCCAGGGCTGTGTGCGTGCAGGGGCCGTGGTGGCAGAGGGGAAGTTGGTGGGCACTGCTCCCTTCCCAGGAGGGAAGCAGCTGTCTCCCCAGACAGGGAGGAGGCGAGACAGGAAGCCACAAGCCAGGAGGCAGCTGCAGCGGGGGTACGACTCCTCACCCAGCAAGGACAGAGCCCCCTGGGGCTCCTCACCCCCCACCCACCGCAGGCAGCCCCATCCTCCACCCTGTCCAGCCGGGCACCGGAGCCCCTGGGCTGGAGCGGGCAGCCCCCCCGGCTGCAGGAATGGCTTGTTTCATGGCGCAGGGAGCCCGGGCACAGCTGAGTGGCAGCGAGGATGGGCTGTGCGGGAGGTGCCGGGTGGTGAGGGCAGCCGGGGCGCCAGGCACTACCTCCCCGGCTCCTAGTAAGGCTCGTTCTTAATGAAGCGGCTGAACATGGTGAAGGCAGCCAGCGGCCGGTCCGTGGGCACCATGTGGCCAGCTCCCTGCAGGAAACAGGCAGCAGAAGGTCAGTGCTCGCCGTGGGGCTGCCGCTGCCCTGCCTTCTCCAGCCCCAGGCTGCCCACAGCCCAGCCAGCACTGGTGCCTGGCACTCTCGCCTACACCACGGCCACCAGCCCTGTCCTCATCTCCCCAGAACCCCTCAGCCCTACCTTGACGGTGAGGAAGGCGATGTTGGTGAATTCCTTCACGAAGCCACCGATCTGGTTCACACCTCCTTCAGTGTAGAGCCAGGGCCGGCGAGCAACCTGCACCTGGGACCAGCAGCAGCGACTCAGTGCCCCGGGTGCCCGAGGCAGGTGGCCACACTCTTGCCACAGCCAGCCCTGTTGCGCAGCCGATTGCACTGTCTGGAACCGGTGACCAGCCTGACCCAAGCCCTGCCCTGCCCGTTTACCTTTTGGCACAGGGAGTCCACAAACCACTCGTCCCCGAGGAAGTTGCAGGCCATGTCGACGTCCCCGTTGTACACCAGGATCCGGTATTTCTGCAGAAGAGAAGGAGGCTGAGCGTTTTGCAGGGCAGCAGCCCCGACCAGGGAGGAGGCCAGTTTGGCAGAGCCAGTCCCAGGACCCACTGGGCTCCCTTGCACGCACCGTGGCTCCCAGCAGCTTCAGGTACTGGTCGTTCATCTGCATGTACAGGCGCTTGTAGCTGCGGTTCACCTCAAAGCTGCGGAGGAAGCATCAGCATCATGCGGCCGCTCCGACTTGGGGCAGTCCCTCCCTGCCCAGAGCTCACTCACCTGCACACCTCCCAATCCGGGGCGTCGGGAGAGATGTGGAGAGCCTTCCTCACCTCCGGGCAGTTTAGATACGTCCTAGGGGCTGTGGAGTTTGTGCAAGGAGGGTCCATCCGGACCTTCTTACGGGCTACCGGCATCCGGAACAGGTTCTGGGAGAGAGTTGGGAAGAGTCCCTGCCACAGCAGCACCTGGTGCTGCCCCATGGGAGCAGCCACTCCCTGCCCCCTCCTGCCCACAGGCGGCACCACTGGCCAGGCAGAGGGTGCTCACAGCCTGGTGGCACAGGCACCCGAGGCTCACCTGCCGCCAGGAGAACCTCAACGGCATCTGGATGAAGGAGTTGCCCAGGTCATGTGTGACAAGATAGTCATCCTCGTAGCTGCAGCCAGAAAAGAGCATGGGGACAGACTGAAACCTCTGGAGGAACAAGGGCTCAAGGTCCTCCCTGGGGGAGTCCTCAACAACAGCCAGACATGGTCAGAGGGACTCCCAGCCCACCATATCCCCCTGCCAACAGGGACCCCACATGCTGCAAACCAAAGCCAGCCAGTGCCTGGAGACCTGTCTGCCCTGGGGCCACTCTCACCTCATGCTCCCAGGGACACCACCATCGCACGGGGCATAGAGGTTGTAGATGTTGAGGCCGGACTCCTCTACGATCTGAATCATCTCCTGCATCTACAACAAACCACAAGAAGGGTTTGGGAATGAGGATGCTTGAGGGACCAGAGCCAGGTGGGTGGGTGCTGCTCACAGACACCAGCACCAGGCAGGCGCCTGGGGGCTCTGCCTCTCCTCACCTTGAGCGTGCAGTTCAGGTTGGCGTTGTCATGGAAGTTGCACTTTCCTTGGGAGCAGCAGAAGGCCTGCAAATCCTTCCACAGCCTGCGGGCAGAGACCAGGGGACTTGGACCACACTGCTCAGATGGCAACACCGACACAAAGATCATGGCCACGGCCCCAGCCGCCACTGCAGGCTCCCTGCCCAGCAGCCACATAGCACGTGGCTTGGTGCCCTGTGCATCACACATAGGAGCTGCACAGGATGAAGGACCATCTCCACAGCCTGCCCGCTGGCCCAAGACAAGCCAGGAGCTTCCCTTGCCCTGCACACCACCGACCCAGCCATCCCCACCCCACGCTGTGCCCCCATCCCGCTCGCACAGGGACCTAGCAGCAGCGCTCCCCCTCCTCTTACTCAGTCCCCAGCAGGCCGTGGTAATAGGCAAAGTAAACCAGGGAGTTGTCATTGATCTCGTAGGAGGAGAGGCCATTTCCCACAGCGATTCCCTGCAAGGCAAGAAGAAAACAACTCTGTTGTGTTCCAGCTCCCCACAGGGCAACCACAGCAGCAGCAGCGGCAGGCAGGAAGCAGATGCGGCACTGTTTACTCCACGGAGGCAACAGGAAGGGTCGGGGGGTGCCTGAGAACGCTCCCCTGGTCCCTCGTGGCAGGGATGGACACGTCCACCACCAGCCGCTGCCAGCACCCCAGGAGAAGATGAAAGGCTGCGGGGCCAGACCCGCCCTGCACTCTGGAGGCCCCGCACGCCGGTTGCGCAGCCGGTCCCAACCCCGGTAATCCGCTCAAGAGCCACGGAGAGGCCGTGCCAAGCCCTCTGCTCCCCAGCTCAGCCCAAGGCCGGTGGCAGAGCCCAGTGACCCACCTTCAGGTTGAGGCTGGGGTCCTGCATCACCCACTCCGCCAGCGTGGGGATGTAGACCCCCCCATAGCTCTCCCCCGTGAGGAAGAGATCGTTCTTGGAGTACTCGGGGAAAAGCCGGAGGAAATCCTTCAGCGCCAGGTAGTTGTTGTGAGCAACCTGCAGGCAGGAGGAGACGGGGGTCAGGCAGCAAGGCAGGACCCCCAGCACCCAGGCTGGGGCAGGCAGGAGGCAGGTCCCTCTCAGCAGCCCGGGTCACTCGCCTCGGTGTCATTTGTGGTGTACTTCTTGTCATCAGAGTATGAGAAGCCGACGCCAGCGGGGGACTCCAAGTAGAGTATGTTGGCAATCTGCAGGGACAGCAGAGGAGCTGGAGATCAGGGGACACCTTCAGGGGACACCTCCCCTCCTGAGTCAACAAGGCAGAGAGCTGCTGGCCTTGTTGGTGGTGGCACCCGTGGGTGTCCAGCCCGCCCCAGGGCTGTGCTGGTGGGGCCACATTCCTGTCTTACTTGACAGCAGGCTTGAGAAGAGGGTGTGTTAGTGGCGGGGGGTCTGAGGGAGGCTCAGCTCCATGGAGAGGGCAGGAGGAACTGGCTCAGGGCCACCCTGTCCCCACAGCCATGGAGGGCTGCAGCGCTTTGAGCCCGTACCTTGTTCCAGGCGTAGTCGTTATACTTCAGCGTGACCCCGTCAGGCTGGATCTGGGGAAGCACAAGGCAGTGACCGATGGGCACAACCAGGGTGGCCCCGGCGGGATGGCACGTGCCACACAGCCTGCCAGCCCCCCAGCCACGGGATGGGCACGACTACTAACCAGGAAGGGGCCGTGCTCCTTCAGGAAGCCCTCCATGGAGCTGCAGCCGGGGCCTCCATTCAGCCACAGCACCAGGGGGCTGCTCTGGGGGTTGCTCTGGGCCTCCACGAACCTGCAGAGCAGACACACACACACACAGGGGTATCACTGCCCGGCCAGGCCCCCTCCCCAGCCACTCGGGCACCAGCCCCGGTACCGGCACGGTCTCACCTACCAGTAGTGCAGGTGCTTGCCCGGCCCGGCGCAGAGGTAGCCCGAGAAGTGTCGGAAGGAGGGCTGCTTGGTCAGCCCCGGCAGGTAGGTCACTTCATGGCCCGGGGGGGCGGCCCGGCTCAGCCCCAGCAGCAGCAGCAGCGCACACAGCACCGGCCCCATCTGCGGGGTGGGGGGGGGAAGGCGGGAGGGGAGGTCAGGGCGCTGCTCGCCGGTAACGGCCCCGGCCCCAGCAGCGCTCCACACCCGGCCCGATCCCCGGGGCTGGCCCCTGCTGACCCCGG